TTTTGACAACCACCCATATTGGGGTCCCCCTACTTAGGGAAGCTACCATTTCAAAGCAGCAGGACTCTCGGCCAAACTCTGCCCCTGGGACAGGGCACTTGAGACCCAGACTCGGCCTAAATACCACATGTGGCCCAGGGAGAGCTTGAAACACAAATGCTTCAAAAATTTAGGGTTTAGGGTTTAGGGGTCAGTATGGACAGCTTTGATTTATCTAAGCGCCATATTCTGTAAGATATCTACGTACATACACCCTTCATGCTCCTTAACTTCTGTCTAGAATGTAGCCACACGCCAAGCCAGCAACAGGAGACCAACACTTCCGGAAATCCTCCCTACACAGGAGGATGTATATTTATGGCCGCCATCTGAACACCAATTTGTTTGAGCTGTGCTACAGTAGCTCACCAAACGCAGATTTATCCAATCGCATTTACAACTATTTATGGAGAAGTCCAAAAAACAACCTGGTCCTTTCAACGTGCCCTTCCACCTAAGCCCATATCCTAACCCTCAATCCTAATTCTGAACCCTAAACCCTAGATCCTAAACAACCAGCCCTGAAAATTTAAATCCTGAACATGAACAGTCGGAAGCTTGCCAAGCACCTTTTTCCGGCAGCTCCACACTCAAACACATCCACGACCCAAGTGAGCTGTAGTCCAAACTCCTCGCTATTCTAGGGCTTATTAAGGGGGATACTTGGAGTTTAGACTCTAGCTCAAGTGAATCAAGGTTTATGTTGAAGGGGACTATAGGCTTTCTAGCTGAAACATCTGTCTAGGGTCGACTATTACGCTTTGTTGGGGAATGCTCCTTTGAGGTGAAGGCATTCTACTACCCATCTATCTATGCAAGGCGAGGTGGGCGCATCAGGAAACACTGATGCAGTCCAAAATAACAGCTATAAGGGAGGATACCGTACTACTCAGTTACAGCTTGAATATTTTCCTACTTAGCCTGATGATAGCCACACGGTTGATAGACAGGTTGGTTTCTCAACAACCTACATACCTGAACCCAAGAAATTGTCGTAGGATGGTATGCTTCCTTTATATCAGCAAAAGCACAGTCACAGTAACACAATTTTAGCAACCCCCCCTCCCCAAATCAGGAACCTACAGCTACCTGGTGCATTATAGTAGCTTTGTGAAGCCCAAGATGAGCCCCCTTCCCAACAGAATCGTATGCTACATAGTTTCTACCGAAAACCCTACACACTAAACTAGACGCATCCTAAGAAATAAAACACCCCTTAAACAAACCCTCAGCCTCAGCTATTTTGCATCCAGCCTACGCCCCGAACCTCCAAAAATGCCTAAAACATACTACTTTTGAGTACTATCCTAAACCCTACACACTAAACCCCAAAACGCTAAACCGCGAAACTTTCAGACCTTGCCTATTCATTTTGGTCGGGGATCTGCCCTGGGAAGCTACAACCGCCGGCGTTTGGCTGATGGAGGCTCCTGCCAGATGAGCCATATTCTAAAATGGAATCGTTCTTCGTAGGTCTTGGCCTTTGATGTACACGGTTGGGCTAACCTGATTATGAGCTTTCTTCTTTCCTAGTAGAAGCAGAAAGAGAGGCGGCAGGAACAGGAAAGGAACGCATGCAATTCTCTAGAAGCATGGAGAGAGTCTGAACACTTAGGTGGCGAAAGGTCTCCTACAGGACTTTGGAAGCATGCTGATGGTCGCATGAAGTTCCAGGATATGGGCTTCAGTATGGGACAACTATCCACGAACGGATCCTTGCTGGCGTGAGAGGCACATGTTTAAGGAGACGGCGCCTGTAAGAGGCC